CAAGTTGATTCCTCTGATGGGAATGGGGATGCTGCTCATGAAGATGCTTCTGAAGGGAATGGGGAGGATGGTCTGTTTCCTGGGCCTAGTTTTAGGGATGTGGGGCCTGAATGCAGTTCAGATGACGGTTTAGACAGGCCTGTGTTGCTGCAAAGGGAATCTCAAGGTCTCGAGCCTGGGAGAAGCTCTGAGCTGCAGTCCCAGGGCCAGTTATCTCCAGGTGCAGATTTTAATGAAGCCTTGAACAGAAAAAGAGCGTTTAGCCAGCAAAGACAAACAAATCAGAAACTAAGGCACTCAGTCAGATTAGAGCAAAAGCTAGTAGAGAAATTAAAACTAAGGAAAAGCTGTTTGGGAAACAAAGTAGATATATAGTGCTAAATACAGAGTCTAGCTTCAGACAAAGCAATATTGGATTTACGAATAGTTCTCCATGCCATGTTCCTGGATCTTTGTCTTTGTTTGATTCCTGTTTAAGTGCTTTTGCTGTTATTTTGCCTTTGAAATCAAGCCTCTGGTTTAATGAATTTTCTTGGACTGTTTCTCTGTGGATTTATTGCTCTTTGTTACTTCCTAATCAATTGGATTTGTCTTTTTACTGCAGATTACTTTTATTGCTTTGGCTTTTACTATCTTCAATAAACCGCTTGCTATTTTAACTCAACTGTGTGGTGTTGGGAGTCAGAGGGAAGCTTGCTCTGGAGTACAACAATCTGTAAGAGAAGTTGGGCTCTAGACACTTTTCTTCAGCCAGTGACTAAGCTGCCCTAGAGAAGGTGGACTGGCAGCACCTCACCACCTCACCATAAATCTCCAAGTGACAGTTTATTTGTTGCTGTGTGTGCTTTGTGACACATAAAGTTTCTATAACCTCTCATTTTGAAGCATCTCAGCATTCTCCTCAAACTAGTTACCCTCATTGGAAATAATCTCTTGTGATCTCTATTGTTCCTCCCAGGATGCTGTCCTCCAACACATTTAATTTAAAAGCAACACAACATTGACCCTTTGTTCACGTGGAGGAGGGGCTCTACTCCCCTGCTAAGTTGCCCAGATAATGAGTGATCCCATTTTAACTGCCACATATATGTATTCTACATACACACTATCAGAATAAGTAATAGCCATTGTTTTCCTATAAGAAGCAAAGGCAAAATAAAAATTGGAAACATCAATAATGATTCAGCCAAGCAGAGCAAGTACTTGAAGTTATTCCTTTTTTGGAACGAGTCAGCCGCATGTTTCTGTTAGTATTAGATTGCTTTGTGAAACAGAAAAAGATTAGTCTATATTAGGATATACTGTACTAAATTTCTTCAACTTTTATCACATTTTTGACTTTAGCATGACCACTGCTCCTTTTCATCACTGTATTCTTTTTGTTCTGAGTGAGTTACTGTACTTACCAATCCCATCTAGGTCCTATATTTAATGTGTTTCAGTAAATAAATACAGGACCCTTTGGTAGTGCAGCAGGTTAAACCACTGAGCTGCTGAACTTGCTGACTGAAAGAGTTGGCGGTTCGAATCCAGGGGACAGGGTGAGCTCCCACTGTTAGACCCAGCTTCTGCCAACCTAGTTCAAAAACATGCAAATGTGAGTAGACCAATAGGTACTGCATCTGTGAAAGGTAACGGCGCTCCATGCAGTCATGCTGGCCACATGACCTTGGAGGCATCTACGGACAATACCGGCTCTTCATCTTAGAAATGAAGATGAGAACCACCCCCAAGAGTCAGACACGACTAGACTTAATGTCAGGGAAAACTTTTACCTTTACCTATTTCAGCAAAAAAGTTTGAGTTCTTGACATAAAATACTTTAGTAGTAGTCATAGTGTTCAAAAGAACGATTATCAGATTGCAAGTTTTTGATAGTGATTTTGAACTGTAGATTTCCAGCAAACAGAAATATGGATTGTGGTATTATTCTACCTGTGTCTGAAATAAAAGCATATTTTTAAAAAGAAATATGTTTATCGTGTTAAATGCCGTTTTTCCTCCCAATGCAGAACTTTCTGAGTATACAGTATATGACTCTTCTTCTAAATATTTTCATAGATTTGGTATGCATCTTCAAGTCCCAGTCATTTTGCCATCTGAACCAAAGGCTAAAAGGTGTCTTCTCTGATTAAGTTAACCACGCTGGCATCTAATCTATGTTTGAGAAATTTGTAGAGCAAGGCAATGAGGACAAAGCAGTCATGGAAAGTGCCCCTGTTGCAATGGTGACTCATTTTTGAATGGACTGAAAAGGATCTAAGCCAAAGATTGCAAAATTGTGTTCTGCACTGAAAATGAAAGCGACGTAGCTTTCTATCTTAGACTTTGCCATGTAGTTTTCATCAGATTACTATAAACGTCAGATTTTTTTTTTTGCTTAGCAAATTGAGACGAATATAAGTTTGCATTACCGGGTGCCATATATATTAAAATATAATCTCAGCTCTTTTTTTTTTTGCTAAATGACATAGCCAAAAGTGAAGTGCACATTAGATTTGATGGCACATTAGAATTGTGCAAGTAAACTCGCCTGTGTCCCTCCATCAGTTTCCCAAGTAGCCTCATTCACCACCACCCCACCTCAGCCTTGAGGGCCTTGTGAATGATGGCTGCCACCAGTCCAAGACCAGCAAGTTTGCCATCCATGGTCCAATGGAGGGGCACGGCTTCCTCTTCCCTATACACCATCTCAAGGCAGGCAGCAGAATGGCCAACAGGAAAGGGGAACTTTTTAAGTACCCTTCAAAATTGAGGTGCACATTACAATTGATGGCACATTATACTTTAGTAAATATGGGTAAATGCACTTTATGAACAAGATTTAAAAATGATGGCAAATCTTTTTTCTGTTTTTACTGCCGCAAGTCTTCAGACAGTAATAATATGCAAGACCACCATTTTAGATATGTTTACTGAGGTGGTACATAGCTTTTTAACAGAGCATAACAATCTTTTTTTAAACTAAAAATACTCACAGCTCTGGAAATAACATCATTCTAGACAAGAACATTTGAGACTTTATCTTTAGCTGCCAAATAATTTATTTTAATAAGCATTTCATTCAGGAAGGTTCATGACATGTGCGGCTGTCCATTAGCTTTATTAATTTGCTGAACGACAACAAGAATGGTGAATCACATTCGCTCTCACCACTCAGAATGGACTTTGGTTGTGTGATTTCGTAGCCACCTTTTCTCTATAAAACTTTTTCCTTACTGTAAAGAAAAGGCACAAATGCACAGGTTTTGTTCTTCCAAAGGGTTAGCTTTGAGCATGCTTCCATGCTGAATTACCAAGATGCCTCTGGTAATTCAGAAGTAGAGATCTTCTCTTGACCTCAAAGCACCTTCCAAACACAAAAACATGCTTGGAGCAAAACAAGTCTGCAACTGAGCAGTTCCATGATGGAAAGTTGTCTGGAACACACCTGCATTTCATGTTTAGTTCCTTACAAAAGAGTAGTATAAATACAACCAAGACACTGCACTTACGCTAGTTTAGGCCACAGATTTCCACATTTAGAACATTTTTTTCTTACAGCAGCTATAAGGCTTTTGCTTTCCCCAGCTAAATAACAAGTCAATTTCTGTGATTTACATGGTCAGATGACAGATTCACCAATAGGTCAATGCTTTTCCCCCATCACACCTTTTTTGAAAAGATATGTAGCATATTTACAAAAAAAACAGTACAGAAGAGAGAATCAACACTCCCAGAAATCCTAACAGTTGGTAAACTGGCTGGGATTTCTGGGAGTTGTAGGCCAAAACACCTGGGGATCCACAGGTTGAGAACCACTGCCTTAGACAGTGTAGTGTAGCGTAATCACACCTAAAACTCACACTGGTTTTTCTTATCTCTTCCATAGAATTCTATAGATTTCATCTCTTTGAAGATGTTCATCAAGTTGTGAAACACACATATATGGCTAAATACACAGGCTATGTTGGGTCCCAACCTCTGTTTCCCTTGCTAGCCATCTCTGCTCCTTTAGATTCCACTTATGAACCCTTCAAAAACCATTCCGAGATATTATAATGCAGTGGTTCTCAACCTGTGAGTCCCCAGGTGTTTTGGCCTACAACTCCTAGAAATCCCACCCAGTTTTCTGGGAGACCAAAATATCTGGGGACCCACAGGTTGAGAACCACTGTTTTAATGTATTTCGTTTATATTTCAGACTGCTATTTTTTTTGCCTCGACGTCACTCTGTGCCCTTTATGTCCAGCCTGTTAAATAGAGTTGTCATTGTAACTTTTCTTAAATGGAAGGATGAGTGACATCCAACCAACTTTTGGCTCCTCAGATTATTGCAGGAAAAATTGAGAGGTCTGAGCCCTCCAAAATCTTGTGGAGGTCCAGTGTGGTCCCACAACTCTTGATAGTTGTCTCATCTTATCTCAGTGCAGAGCACATTGAATCAAAGGTAGTGTGAAGTGCATTGGTGTACTCGATCTGAAACACTTTTTCGTGATATTCCTCTTCACCAAAGTGGGAAACTTTAGCCTTCCAGCTACAGCTGAACTATCATCCTTGGCCACCATCTATGCTGGCTGGGCCTGTTGGGGTTTCAAGTTCAACCACCTCTGGAGGACTATTTCTTTCCATTCCTGCCCTGTACGATGAAGGAGTGCAAATTAAAAATGGCAACAGAACATTTCTTGCTTTTTCTCCAAATGAAGAGTCACTGGTTCCTGAAAACACTGTACCTTTTATTTTCCCTGTTCTTTGCCTCCCATGCTTATATTGGCAATTATATTATGTTCATGGAAGGGGACGAGAACACTCTTATATAATCTTAAGACATGTCAAGACTCAATAGATTGTGTTGAGTCATTTGGGTAAATCCAAGCTAGACAATGAGTTCTCCTGTTGAAACCAAGTTGACCTTCAAGATTTGCCAAGAACTCTACCAAGAAGACTGGTTGAACTCTTAAGGTAAGGTCAGGTGGCTTACCCAGTGGAAAGGTTTCAAAATAAGGCATTAACACTATAGCTTTTAACACTGGAACTTAATACTGATATTTATTTACAAGCTAGCAAAAGTGAGACAGTTTGAAGTGGTAGCCAAAGTTTAGTATTAAGCTTCTACAAAAAAATCACAGATCTCAATCCGAATACACTACATGGCTATCAATGAAGAACAACAATGTAGTTGATACAAGCTAGTAAGTAACCCCCTTGCCATGTGTGTGACCTCTTGCTGAAATATTTGGCACAAAAATTTCTCTCCTTAAATACAATCCCTTTTGCCGCATTAAAAAAAGACTCCGATCACATTTACTGTTATGACATCATCATTATCTTAAATAAAAACCAGGACAATAGAGAGGAAAGCTAGTTTAGTTACACTTTGGTAACTTGAGTGTTAACACTTTTAACACATTAAGCTATAATTCCTCCCTCTCCACAAAAAATGCTTAAAGTATCACTTGCAGAACCAATATTATAAGGTTCAATGCTTGTTTTTAGCGCTTTGTTCTTGTAAGCTGGTCATCTTCACAGTCACCCATGGCTTGTAGTACGTATGTTCCCGTGTAGAGAAGCAGTTGTCCTGTCACTTGTGCAATATGCGATAAAAACCGAAGCATTCTCCTGCAAAGAAGTAAAATCATTTAGTTGGTAAGATATTAAGGTAACATATGCAAAACACATTATTTGGCTGTGCATGATTGATATTTAAAACCCACTTTAGCAGCCATGCTTCCCTTGCACTTGTTTCAGACTGCTTTTGACTTTTCAACAAGGGACATTGTAAGAATGCAGCAACATCAGTCTAGATCAGGGTCCTCAAACTTTTTAAACAGAGGGCCAGGTCACAGTCCCTTCAAACTGTTGGAGGGCCGGATTATAATTTGAAAAAAAGCATGAATGAATTCCTATACACACTGCACATATCTTATTTGTAGTGCAAAAAACACTTTAAAACAATACAATCATTAAAATGAAGAACAATTATAACAAATATTAAACTTATTTAATATTTCAATGGGAAGTGTGGGCCTGCTTTTGGCTGATGAGATAGGATTGTTGTTGTTGTGTGCTTTCAAGTCATTTCAGACTTAAGTTGACCTTGAGCGAGGGCTGGGTAAATGACTTCGGAGGGCCGTATCCGGCCCTTGGGCCTTAGTTTGAGGACCACTGGTCTAGATGCTATAGCTAATATGTGTTAATCTGATAGTTAGATCTGGATTACAACCAGACACAGTGAAGACATCTGCCCTTGTACTTTGCTGCTGACTACGCATGTCCAGGGTGGAATACATCTCATCACGTTAAAACAGTGGATATGGCTCTTAATGAGACTTGCCTCATTATCACAAGATGTCTACGCCCAACACTGTTGGAGAAATTATACTGTATAGGTGGTATTGCACTACCTGACATCCATTGGGAGGTAGCAGCTAATAATGAAAGAACCAAGGCAGTGATATCTCTGGCCCACCCTCTGTTCGGATATCAGCCAGCATGCCAGTGCCTTAAATCAAGAAACAGTTTTTTTTAAGTTTGACAGAAATATTTGCTGGAACACCTCAGCAAGTGAGAGCCCAAAAGTGGCAGGCTAAAACCCAGAACCTCAATCAGTGGCTGATTCTGGATGAGACACCCCTCCCCCCGGGCACAAAGAAGACTGAACGACTTGGAAGGCACTGAACAGACTGATCTCTAGGACCATGAGATGCAGAGCTAATCTTAAGAAATGGAGCTACAAAGCAAAGTCCATAACATGAGAGTGCGGAGAAGCTCAAACTACAGACCACCTACTACAATGCAGCCTGAGCCCTGTCACATGCACAATGGAGGACCTCCTTACAGCAACACCAGAGGCACTCCAAGTGGCCAGCTACTGGTCAAAGGACATTTAGTATAATGCCAAGTTTTTAACTGTGTTTCTTTAAATACAGCTTCTTGGCAGGGGGTTGGACTGGATGGCCCATGAGGTCCCTTCCAACTCTAGGATTCTATATTTCATTTTGTGACAGTTGTTTTTTAGACGCTGTACTTTTATTTTGTCATTTATACTGCAATGCTTACTCAATTAAAATATCCTAGAGTTTAGATCAGGGTGTTAGGAATTGTGGAAGTTGAAGTCCAAAACACCTGGAGGGCCAAAGTTTGCCCAAGCCTGGTTTAGATAAAGGGCAAATTTTATTTAAAGATCAAAATGCAGTAGTACTACAAAGTTTGTTGTGTCCCTCTTTTTTGCTGCACCCTAAATGTGCTTATTTTGAATTAAATTCCTCATTATATGCTTTGAATACCCATATATCCAAATACAATGAATGAACCTTATGCTATTTTCATTTGAGAAACGAGACACTGTCACCACCTAGTGTTTGAAGAGCCTGAAACTGCAAGTGCTCACAGATCTCACTAGAGTGAAACCTGCCCATTTTTAATATTCAGCTCATCCAAGTCTTTTCTTCACCATAATACCATAATTTCTTCACACAAATTACAGCAGATAGCCTATTTACTGTATTTCTAGTCTGAGAAGGGATTAAGAGGTTTGAAACTACTTCACTGATATACTTTCTGCTGACAAGAAGTCACAGGTTTAATATTTTAGCAACTCTCAACTCCTTGGAGTTGCAACATTTAAGGAATGTCTTCTCCATGTAGACCTGTGGTTAACAATCTGAGGTCCATGGACCAACAGTGGTCTGCAAGAACAATATAGTTCACGGCCTCACTGTTACTACACTGTTGCTACGACAGAAACCCACAAGGATGCCTGGCGGGGACGAGAGACAGGGCCTTCTCAGTGGTGTCCCCTCGGCTGTGGAACGCCCTTCCTGCAGATATTACATCGACCTCCTCCTTGCTGGCATTCCCGAGGAAAGTAAAGACCTGGCTGTTTGAACAGGCATTCAACTAAGCAGTGTGATTGATTGATTGACTATCGGAACACGGAATATCGGATAACGAGTTTGGATTCTGATTTCATTGATGAGACCTGATGGATTTGTTATATTGATGTAGTGATGTATTGATATTGATGTTTAATGATTTGTGATGCTATTGCTTTTAAATGCTTAATGGTTTTGTATTGTGTATACCTAAATTGTTGTAAACTGCTCTGAGTTGCCTAAGGGCTAAGAAGAGCGGTATACAAATAAAGTAAATAAATAAATAAATAATTATAGCGCTGATGTTTATGGTTTCCTGTGGGTGAGCAGATGGTGACTACTGGGTGGCATGTTCTGTATCAGAAACCAGAGCTAATCTGGTCTATCCAATGCAATTTTCTGAATCAGCACCCCCAAATAACCATACCGAATCTAAAGTTGAGTTGACCAAAAACTGATTCGTAATCCTTTTGGTATTAATGTTGGAGAGTGGTTCTTGGTCAAAGTGGTCCCTGGTCAAAAATGTTGGGAACCATGGATGGAGACAGTCTTGGGGAGGGGGGCTTCAAAGAGTTGAACCAGCTTTTTCATTGGTTCAAACACGGTCTTGGGTTAAAAGTGATGACTCTGGTGTCCATGTTGCCAATCACAACCAGATTATTTAAAATCTTGTGGTGGTTGGCAACATGGCAACCACCCTAGCAGCCTTAAAAAAAGATCTAAAAACTTGGCTTTTCTGATATGCCTTTGGAGAGTGACCACATATTCCATTTTTGTTGTTCCATCTACACTGTTTTCTTTATATTGTACTTCCCCCACCTTATTGAAAGTTTAACTCCACTGTTCAGTCACCTATGAGCTCCTTCTCTACAAATTGTACTTTTCATTGCTATCGCATCCAGAGTTTTATCATTTTATGTCATACATTTGGCCCACCCACAGTGTTCGATTTTCTATTATGTTATATTGTATTATTTATTGTATTGGACTGGTTTATTTTGCTGTGATTTTTGTTGTTTATATTTTATGTTGCTGTGCTGTTTTGCTGGGCTTGGCCTCATGTAAGCCACTCCAAGTCCCCTTTGGGGAGATGGTGGCGGGGTAGAAATAAAGATTATTTATTTATTTATTTATTATTAATATATTTAGATTGGGGAGGTCAATTACAAAAGGTCAGAAGTCGTTTTCCCTTCCGATCATGTCTTGTTGCCATTTTTTTCTGTTTTGGGCAGCTCTGGGAGTTGTCTTTTTGGGTGGATTTGGGATTGCCTGGGTGTAAGAAAATCAAGCCAAAAATTAAAATATTTTAGGGGGATTGTTGGGGACCCTAAAAGGGGTCTAAGGGGTTTCTAGGGACTTCTGTGGGCCACAAGTTGGGACTAACAAAACAATCTGGATCCTAATGTTTGGCAAAATGAAACAAAGAGTTTCATTATTAAGGTTTTTGAAAATAATTTTAATTATTAGAATGGCAAAATGTTGCAATTGCACTACTGCACATCCCATCACAAAAATGTAATACACAGCTGGTTAAAGTACAGAACATGTTGATGAAAATGATCAGTGAGAGGAACCCTATTCTTGCAGAACAATTCCCAATATTTTTTATCACTGATTGTATTAGCTAGCTGATGGCCAACAAGGCCTGAAAGATTGCACAGTTCCCACCCCAAACAATAGGATTACACATCCTTCTAGATAACAAAAGGAAGATCAACAGACAGGTCATATTTTACTTCAAAGGCTTCACTTAGGCCTTCTGTAAAAATATTAATGTCTCTGATCTGATACTGCAGAATTCTTATGAATGTTAGCTTTATCAGTGCAGGCAGAATACTTTAGCCTTTACACAACATTTTGCACTGTTGTGTAAACAAAGCTTGGAATAATAGCTACCATAACCCACCAGCTAACACAGCAGGGACCATGCTGTGGATGTGATGATCCAAGTTGTTTATAAAAGCTATGTTTCACAGCCTTGAATGGTGTATGGAAAACTACTTGCCTTCTATATGTCTTTTTTTGAACCATGCTTCCTATCTGCTAGGCCATGCAAATCAAAATGTATTAACAATGCTTTCCATTACAGCATCTCAGCTTACATTACTTGCAACTAAAGATGTGTGTACTCACCTTAGTATAGTCTTTGCCCCCATACATTTGATGTCATAGGACACAGAATAGATTTCATAGAACGTAGCTTTGATATTTAGGCATCCAATGAAGTCCTTAGGATTCAGTTTGTACAAGTCTAAGGTGATATTTGCAACCCCCATTTTCTTTGGTTGCTGTACTCTTGCAATATTATAGCTTGGTCCCTAGATCAAGAAAAAAGGGGAAAACGTATGTGAACATTAACTTTGTTTTAGATACAAAATAGCCCGGATTTTATTAATTCACTTCAACCAATGTGAAATTTTCTATACAGACACTGTTCTGGGGGTTATAAAATGATATTAGGTGATAAAAACATATTTTATAGTTAATAACTGAGAAGAACAAGTTTTAGCCACTCCTAACTAAATAGATTATGTTTCTAATCAAGCTTTGAGTTCCTTCTCCACAAAAAATTTAAGAGAAGATGTTAGAAATATTTAGCTTGGATTCGTAGACAGAAACTGATTATTCTTCCTGAAATTCTGGCATAATTTAAACAAGCCAGAACTTTAAAAAGATGGAAAATAAAATTTCTGGCTCATTGTTTTGCATGTGCTACTGTAATAATGGAAACTTTGCAGAAAGTTTTTGTTCTTACTCATTCTCCACAATGGAGTTTTTGTTTGTTTGTTTTGTTTGTTTTCATGTCAGGAGCAACTTGAGAAACTTCAGGTCACTTATGCTGTGAGAGAATTGGCCGTCTGCAAGGACAATGCTCAGAGGACACCCTGATGTTTTACCATCCTTGTGGGAGGATTCTCTCATGTTCCCACATGGGGAGCTGGAGCTGACACAGGGAGCTCATCTGTGATCTCCCCGGATTTGAACCTCTGACCTGTCAGTCTTCAGTCCTGCCGGCACAACGGTTTAACGCATTATGCCATCGGGGGCTCCTGGGACTTAAAAACCACAGGCAGGGTAACAAACAAGACCAGGACGGCCTTTAACTCTAGGGCCCCTTCTACACTGCCATATAATCCAGTTCAAAACAGATAATCAGGATTTTATAAGGCAGTGTAGAAAGGACCCAGGTCTTCTTTCTGTTGGGACACAGCTTGCAATGCTAGCCTTCAAGCTCCATCAACAACTAAAGCAGGGGCAGGGAATCTTAGTACTCTTTGCTTTGTACACTACAACACCCAGTCAGTATGAAGGTAAGGAAGTTGGAATTCAAGATATTTGCAGGGCTACAAGGTTTCACGCATCATACCAAACCTTCACCTCAACTCACAAACAAGTTTGCCAGCTGTAATATTCCACTCCAGAGAACAACACTTACTGGCTTCCATTTCTGCCCCTTCTCCAGAACCATGAAATATGTGTTGTCTGGCAGGGACTGGAAGAAGTCTTCTGTATCCACTACTGTGCCATCTTCTTCCAAGACCAGTGTTATCAAGCCAGCAGTAATCATTAAGGCATCCAAGGTCTAAAAAAGAAAAACAGAAAATCATATTCCAAGGGCCTTGTTATGAGATCAGCCCCACTTCATTTCCCCCACATTTGAAGCATGTATGTGACATAGAAAACAATGTCCTTTTGTTGAAGGCTTTCATGGCCGGAATCACTGGGTTGTTGTAGGTTTTTCGAGCTATATGGCCATGTTCTAGAAGCATTCTCTCCTGACGTTTTGCCTGCATCTATGGCAAGCATCCTCAGAAGTTGTGAGACCTCACAATCTCTGGGGATGCTTGCCATAGATTCAGGCAAAATGTCAGGAGAGAATGCTTCTAGAATATGGCCATATAGCCCGAAAAAACTACAACAACCCAATGTCCTTAAGTGTTTTGTATGTACCAGTCAGTAAAAATGTAGGTGCCACATGAATTCAATTTTCTAGCCACTCTTTGAGAACCGGAACAGCAGAAATTCCTCTATACAGCATTAAAACAACAAATTCTGTGGATGAGCATTATTTATGAAGAGAGAGGCATACCTTGCTGATAAGTTCTTGCAGACTGTTTGCTACAACTCCCCTCCGATTGTTTCTCTCACAATTACAAAGACGGAAGGGCCGAGCAGCAGGGGAAAGGGGAGCAAGCAGGGCCTGTCTTGTGACTGATCCCATTGATGTTCCTACAGAGACCAGTGATCTAGAACAGAAAAAAAAATCTTCGTTCAATACATCTACTGTATCATGAGAGTTTACAATTTAAAATGCCATATTAAGTACTTTGTGTATGCAGTTTAAATCATTTCCCCTATTTGGGGAGCAATGGATACCCAGATGTGGATGTCTTGCTATGACTTCTCCCATGGGCTATTAAAATGTGGAGGAAGGGGTGTCTTGTTACTGCAGCGTTTCTCAACCTGGGGGTTGGGATCCCGGGGAGGTTGCGAGGGGTGTGTCAGAGGGGCTGCCAACATCAATCAGAAAACACAGTATTTTCTGTTGGTCATGGGGGTTTTGTGTGGGAAGTTTGGCCCAATTCTATTGTTGGTGGGGTTCAGAATGCTCTTTGAACTTAGGTGAACTATAAATCCCAGCAACTACAACTCCCAAATGTCAAGGTCTATTTTCCCCAAACTCCACTAGTGTTCACATTTGGGCATATTGAGTATTTGTGCCAAGTTTGTCCAGATCCATCATTGCTTGAGTCCACAGTGCTCTCTGGATGTAGGTGAACTACAACTCCAAAACTCAAGGTCAATGCACACCAAACATTTCCAGTATATTCTGTTGGTCATGGGAGTTCTGTGTGCCAAGTTTAGTTCAATTAAATCACTGGTGGAGTTCAGAATGCTCTTTGATTATAGGTTAACTGTATATCTCAGCAATGATAACTCCCAAACGACAAAGCCAATCCCCCACCACCACCCCACACCACCACCACCAGTATTCAAATTTGGGCATATCGGGTATTTGTGTCAAATTTGGTCCAGTGAATAAAAATACATCCTGCTTATCAGATATTTACATTATGATTCATAACAGTAGCAAAATTACAGTTATGAAGTAGCAACAAGAATAATTTTATGATTTGGGGTCACCACAACGTAAGGAGCTGTATTAAGGGGTCACGTTATTAGGAAAGTTGAGAACCACTGTGTTATTGGGTGCCTTCAAAGCAGTTTCTGACTTATGGCAGCTCTAGAATGAATCTATCTCAGGTTGAGGAGAGTTTACTTTTGCCCTCCCCTGAGTCTGAGAGAGTGTGACTTGCCCAAAACTCAGTCAGTAGGTTTTCCATGGCTGAGCATGTATTCAGACCTGGTTTCCAGGTTTATAGCCCATTGTTCAAACCACTATGCCACACTGGCTCTACACAAGGGGTGTCTTAATCCACATCTGTGCAGTGACTGTCCACTCTTTCAACTATTTTGATCTGTAGCCACATAAGTAGTAGAAGTTATTTTCTACCAAAGAGATTCCTGGCAGTATTATCTTTTTGGGTTAGAAGGGGAGGTTCACATAAAAATTTCATCACATCTTGCATTTGCCCTTTGGACATAGTACTTGTTGAACACCAAAACCAGAAAGTCTGGCAATAGGTTTCTCATTCCCCAGGGAACATGCAATTCTCTCGTTGCAACAGCTTCACTGGCTGTCAGTGTGTTTCTGGACAGAATTCGAATTGTTGGTTATGATCTATCGGAGACATCAGAAACTTGAGTCTAGACTGTTTGAAATACCATGTCTATTTCTGAATCTGCAGAAGTTTTAGGAACTTGTTCTAGTCATGTGTGGAGACGACACGGGAGAGAGCCATCTCTGCTCCAGGAGGCCCAGTTGTCCCCCTTTTTGCTCTCTTTCAGACAGCAGGCAAAATACCTTTTGATTCAGAGAGATCTTTATTTATTACATGGTTGTGGCAGATTGTCCTTTTAACAGAATGGGCTATGCTGTTTGTTGCTGTTTATTCGTTCGGTCGCTTCCAACTCTTCACGACCTCATGGACCTTACTTTACTTCACTTACTTAGGTGATCCTTCGTTGGTCGAGTAGGATAGTCTTCCAGGATCAGTATTCTTGTGGGTCCGTAGGTGGCTGTGGAGCCCTATTCTTGCTCTGCATCTTCTTCCGCAGTGAGGGCATTGGTTTCCAGGTGGAAGGCGGTCTCGGTCGGGGTTGGCTTGACGCGCCTTCCTCTTGGCACGTTTCTCCCTTTCGCCCTCCATTCGTGCCTCTTCAAATTCTGCAGCACTGCTGGTCACAGCTGACCTCCAGCTTGGTCAGGGCTTCCCAGTTCTCAGTGTCTATGCCAGAGTTTTTAAGGTTGGCTTTGAGCCCATCTTTAAATCTCTTTTCCTGTCCACCAACATTCGTTTTCCGTTCTTGAGTTCGGAGTAGAGCAACTGCTTTGGGAGACAGTGGTTGGGCATCCAGACAACGTGGCCGGTCCAGCGGAGTTGATGGCGGAGGACCATCGCTTCAATGCTGGTGATCTTTGCTTCTTCCAGCACGCTGACGTTTGTCGCCTGTCTTCCCAAGAGATTTGTAGGATTTTCCAGAGGCAGCGCTGATGGAATAGTTCCAGGAGTTGCATGTGACGTCTGTAGACAGTCCATGTTTCGCAGGCATATAGCAAGGTTGGGAGGACAATAGCTTTATAAACAAGCACCTTGGTATCCCTATGGATGTCCCGGTCCTCAAACACTCTCTGCTTCATTCAGAAAAATGCTGCACTCGCACAGCTCAGCTCCCTGTTGGCGGTCACCATCCCCAGCTCCTTCAGAGTGAAGCCAGTCACTTCAAGGATACCATCCATCCGTCTTGCCCTTGGTCGGCCCCTCTTCCTTTTTCCTTCCATTTTCCCCAGCATCATTGTCTTCTCTAAGCTTTCCTGTCTTCTCATGATGTGGCCAAAGTATTTCATCCTTCCAATGAGCAGTCAGGCTTTATTTCCTGAAGTATGGACTGGTTGGCTCTTCTTGCAGTCCAAGGCACTCTCAGAATTTTCCTCCAGCACCACAGTTCAAAAGTGTTTCTCTCCCTTTGCTCAGCCTCCCTTATGGTCCAGCTCTCACATCTGTAGGTTACTACGGGGAATACCATTGCTTTAACTATGCAGATCTTAATTGCCAGTGTGATGTCTCTACTCTTTACATTTTTCCTATATTTTAAATGTGCATTTTAGCTTCAGTGACATTCAGCCTGGGTTGAATGGTATCTTAGCTCATGTGCCAAAAGCAAAGCAGAATATTGCTTCAGCTCCCTATACTTAGAAGCGTCATATTCCTCTTCACAATGAGAGGCAGGGACAACAGCAGTCCGAGGCAATGCCAATCCCAAATGAGTGGAAAAAATACTTGTTTTATCTGATCTGTCGATCGCAATACATTTATCTGAATACTATTTTGGTAAAACATACACACAGTTAGAAGAAAATGCAATTGATATACACACTCTTCTATGGCTACCTGAGTTGCAGACCTTTAAATAATCAGGATAAAGTTCAAGCCCTTAAAGATCTACTAATGAGTCAAAGAATATAATAAAGGTTTACTATCCCTTATCTGAAATGCTTGCGACCAAAAGTGTTTGGGACTGGAACACCTGTTTTACATATATTCACATACTGAGATATCTTGGAGAAGGGACAGAAATCAAATACAAAATTTCTTATGAAGATAATTTTGTACAGTATTTTAAAATAAATTTATGCATGAGACCAAACTGTGTCCACCGAACCATCAGAAAAGCAAAGGTGTTACTATCTCAGTCACACATGTGGACAGTTTTATATTTTGGAATATTCTGGAATTTTGGATGCTCAACCTGTACTGCATCTTTATTAGGCAAACGACTACAGCATTAGCGTGGATTATAGGGCCCATCTGCTGTAAAGAAGCACATAAGGATTCCTGGTGCTTAAGATTTAGTCTTAAATTGAACCATACTTCACTTTCCAGGGGGTCTAAAGAAGATATAGGTGTCAGGAAAGGCACACCACGCAGTAATTCCTAGCTCCAGATTTTGGACTTCAACTTTCAGAATTACTTCCTATTTGCCTTGTTGGCTGGGACTTTAGGGAATGGGGTCCAGTAACATCTAGAGCAGGTGTGGGCAAACCCAGGCCTGTGGGATGGATGCGAACCCCTTGGGCTCTTTTCTCAGTCCCTCCTCTCTCACCATCCTATCCATCCTTCCTTCCCTTTTTCCTTTCTCCTTCCCTCCCTCCTTCCTCCTCTTTCTCCCTCCCTCTTTCATCCTTCCCTCTTTCCTCTCCTTCTCTCCCTCTTTTTCCTTTCTTCCCTTTTGTCTTTCCTTCCTTCTCTCTTTCCTCCCTCCCTCCATTCCCTTCCACCCTTTTGTCCTTCCTCCTTCTCTTCCTTCTTTCCCTTATGTCCTTCCTTCCCTTATGTCCTTCCTTCCTTTCTCCTCCCATCCTTCGCTTTCTCCTCCCATCCTTCCCTTGCTCCTGTCTGTCCGTCCGTCCTTCCTTCCTTCTCTTCCATCCTCTTAGCAGGAAGTGCTAGCATGCGGTCCCCATGTTAGAAAGTTTGGTGTTGAGGAATCTATTCAGTAGACACGTATTTTCTGTGTATTTATGTTGGCCCTATTAAAGTTACTCCCCAAATAAGGACATTGTTCCTTAAGGAGATCACAACATAAGTAAATATTTTCTAAGCTACCAGACTTTGCTCCAAATATACAATACCTTAGCTAGTTGTTTCAATTGTCCGTGGATATTTGTCCAAGATCTATGGTAAACAAGGATTTAGATACCTTACAGCAACTTGATGCAAGAGCAGTTTACTAAATGAAGATTAGCATTAGGACATCATCCCCATCTCCAGGATTCAGTCATCTCACCAACATCCATCAACCTGTGGGCTGCCACACCTACAACTCCCAGAAATCCCAGCCAGTTTACCAGTTGTTAGGATTTCTGGGAGCTGAAGGCCAAAATATCTTGAGACCCACAGGTTGAGAATCACTGATCTAAGCATTCTTCCTCTCATTTCCTCATTTTTCTTAAGTATATTGGGCTTTTCCAATTATATCACAGAAATGTAACCACAGTATCACGCCACATTGCTGCCTTGGCTGTACTCACTGTTGATATGCATATTTACACAGAAGCAAACTGCTCCATCTGCCTAAGATTGCAATTATTTAATGTTGGGAAGTTTGTGCCTTTGCTATATAG